TATAAGACTTGTATACTGGAAACTACAAAACATTAATGAAAGAAAGTAAAGAGACCAAAATAAATGAAAAGATAATCCAATTTCAGGAAGATTAATGCAATACCCCCCAAAGTGATCTACAGATTCAGTGCAATCCTTATCAGAATCACAACTGTCTTTTTTTGCAGAAATTGAAAAACTGATCTTAAAATTAATATGGAATTACAAGGGACCCAGAGTAGCCAAAGCAATCTTGAAAAGGAATAAGTATGGAGGACTCACACTCCCCAGCTTCAAAACTTACAATACTACTATAGTAATCAAAAGTGTGATATTGGCATAAGCAGAAATGTATAGTTCAATGGAATAGAATTGAAAGTACAAAATCAAGTAGATACATTTATGGTCAATTCATTTTTGACTAGAAGACTAAGACCATTCAATGGCAAAAGAAGGCTCTTCAACAAATGGTGCTAGGACAACTGGATATCCACATGCAAAAAATAAAGTTAGACCCTTATCTCATACCATTTACAAAAAATTAACTCAAAATGAATCAAAGATTGAAATCTAAGAGATAAAAGTATAAAACTCTTCAAAGAAACTATAGGGGTAAATCTTAATAATCTTGGATTTGTCAGTGGATCCTTAGACATGACACTAAAAACATAAGCAACAAAAAATAGGTTTAAGAATACAAACTTGCAACTAGTAAATAAGCCATAGAGATCTAATGCACAGTATAATGAATATGGACAATGATACTGTGCTATAACCATCAAACTTGCTAATAGACTAGAACTTAAATTATTCCAAACACTAAATAGAAAGAATAATTATGCAATATGATGGAGGTGCTACATATCACTACAATGGCAGTCATACAATATATAAATGTAGCAAATTAACATGCTGTGCACCTTAAATTTACACAATATTATGTCAAATATATTCAATTAAAAAAAGAAAAAAGAAATTGGACTTCATCAAACTTAAAAATGTTTATGCATCAAAGGATACTATCAAGAAAGTGAAAAGGGAATGCACAGAATGGGAGAAAGTATTTCTAAATCATGTATCTGATGATGGTATAGTATCTAGACTATACAAAGAACTCTTACAACTCAACAAAAAAAGACAAAAATCCTATTAAAAAAATGGACAAATCACTTGAACAGACATTTCTCCAAGAAAGATATACAAATATCCAATAAAAACATCAAAAGATGCTCAAAAGTCATTAGAACTACAAATCAAAACCACAATGAAATACCACTTTATGCCCACTACAGGTTCATAAATAATACCAAAAAAACACCAAAAAAAAAAGAAGAAAGAAAACAAACAAACAAAAAAAACCAGAGAAAAATGGAATAATATAGAGCCATAAAAAGGAATGAAGTATTTATAGATACTGCAACATAGATGAAACTTGCAAACATGCTATGTGAAAGAAGTCAGGCACAAAAGGCCACATATTGTATGATTCTATTTATATGAATATCCACAATAGGTAAATACATAGAAAGCAGATTACTGGTTGCCAGGGTGTGCTGGGAGAGCGAAATGGAGAATGACTGCTCAATGGGTATGGGGTTTCCTCTTGGGTAACAAAAATGTTCTAGAACTAAACAGTGGCAATGGTTGCACAATAATGTGGATATGCTAAAAGCCACTGAATACTTTAAAACCGTTAAAATAGTGAATTTTGTTATGTGAAATTATCCTCAATAAAAATAAAATTCTGTTCCACTTCCACATAAAATAGTATCTGAAGATATTTTTATGTCTTAAGCTTTTTCTCTTAGGAGTAGGGGCAACAAAGTCATTAACATTAGCTTTAGAGTTTACAAAACACTTTGCTATATAATCTTATATATAATAGTCACAATCCATGAGATAGATATTATCACCCCAATTCAAAGATAAGAACTGAGGCTCAGTGAGGTATAAAGTCATATAGCTCAGAAGTCAAAGAGTTGGTTAATCAAGGCAGATGGTCTGACTCCACTGTATTTACTGTGTTAAGGTGACCAGCTCCAGCTTCTGATAAACATGAAAAAGGACAGGAGATGCCACTGTGTACAGGCATCTTGAGCAATTTTTCTTCTTCCAAAGTTAGTATTTTAACTAAAGCAGTAAAAATATTCATTATACCCAAGTTAACAAAAGTTTTAAAGAAACCAATATAGATCATTATTATATAAGAGCAGCATAAAGCAGGACACTACAGATTTCCCTTTTCCAATTTTCTAAAGACATGAGTTTAAGTTTCTCAGTGCATATATGCTATGTTAGCATGTCCTCTCACCAGTGTAGTTCAGCATAATGTTTACAGGGTGTGGCAGTAGAGTAATGAGATGACTGTGCATGTTCCTTATATAACTGGCCTCATTAATTTACAATCACCTTCCTATTAAGGATTAACTAGTGAATGACACATCAGTGATTTTCTAACACTCTGATAAGTTCTACGGATGTTCCTGACAAGGGTCAGGGTTACCAGCCCAAGGAAAGCATCCTCTTAGTTATTTTCTACATTGTGTTTCCCCTTAAGGTATTGTTTGAAGAAAAGATCTCACAGCTTAAAAAAAAATGTACACATTGAAAACCACTGCAGTATATGTGTCCTCACTTCTTCAGAGGTTTTCAAAAATCTTTGCAGATTAGCCAACATTACATAATTATTTCTAATACAAGCAGAGAAAGTCCAAGGGGCTCACTGTATTTGGTTTATGAGTTTTCTTATTTTCCACATTCAATTAAACCATCCTAAAAATCCCCATTTTACAGAGCAGGCACTATAAGCACACTGGGAAACAAGTGACTTAGATGACAGGATAAAGCATGAGCAGGGTCCAGACACGAAGCCCTATCCCAGGTGGCTTAGTCTGCTAGATGGTGCCTAGTTCAAACAGCCTTGGTGCCCATGTAATTATTCAAGGCACTATGACCTGAAGGTACAGATGTCTCTACTCATGGTGCATACCAACACTTGAGGTGGCTATAGGCCAGTAATGTCTGGAACCTGTGCAAGCTGAAGGGCAAAGATTAGCCTCTCCTCCTCCTATGCTCCAGATGACCCCTTGGTTCCCTTGATGGAAAAAATTCTTTCCAAAAGCACCATACGGTACAAAAGAGATTATGAAATATGAAATAGAAGACCTGGGTTCAAATTCTGGCTCTATCTATTAGTATCCTCTTCATGCCTGAAGTCTCTGGACCTCAGTTTGTTCACAGTACTTATCTCATAGGCTTTTAGGAAGGTTAAATGAGATAATGTAGCAGTTCCCATCCTGTGGGCTACAGACTCCTGGGCATCTTTGGCCATATTACAAGAGGTCTGAAAAAGCACATACGAGAGAAAAAGAATCACTTAGGGATTAAGACTAAAAGCCCCGGTACAGTAAAATTGTCTGAGTTCAAATAATGGTTTTACAACTAGCGCAAGTAACTTAGTCTTTCTGTCTCAGTTCCTCATCTGTAATTGGAGAAAACATTATTTACTTTACTGGGTGACTGTGAGGATTAAATGAGTCTACATATGTAATAAAGTACTTAGAACAGTGGCTGGCATAGTAAGAATTCAATAAATGTTAGCTATTATTACTATTCTGTGTGTATGTGTTCTTTCGAAGTACAACTATTATTATCTGGATATTTGCCAAGTTTCATTGTTTTAACTTGGTGGGTGGGGGAGGTACTTAGGTTTATTTATGTATTTTCTAGAAGTACTGGAGATTGAACCCAGGACCTTGTGCACAGTAATGCATGCACTCTACCGCTTTGAGCTATAGCCTCCCCTGGCTTTGACAAGTTTTCACCGCTAAAAAATGGTTGTTATACTTGAAAAGGTTAAAGACTCCATTAGTTATAAAAGAATCCAGTATACTATCTGTCATGTCCTAATCCAGAGCAGCTGATTTCAATCTTTTTTAATTTACTGAGGCTTGTTTTGTGGCCTAACATATGGTCTATCCTGGAGAATGGTCCACATGTACTTGAGAAGAACATGTATTCTGCTGTTGTTGGGTGGAATGTTCTGTATACGTCTGTTAGGTCTAATTGGTTTATAATGCTGTTCAAGTCCTCTATTACCTGTTGATCTTCTATCTGGTTATTCTGTTATTGGAAGTGGGGTTATCGAACTTTCCAACTATTACTATAGAATTATGGGTTTTTCCCATCAATTCTGTCATTTTTGCTTCAAATATTTTAGAGTTCCTTTGTTAGGAGCATATATGTTTTTAATTATATCTTCTGGCTGTAGGGAAACCTATCAATAATGTAATGTCCTTCTTTGTCTCTTGTAATGTTTTTTTATTTAAAGTCTATTTTGTCTGATATTTAATAGCTACCAGCCCTCTCTTTGTTATCATTTGCATGAAATATCTTTTTCCATCCTTTTACTTTTATCTCTTATTTCTTTGCATCTAAAGTGAGTCTCTTATAGACTATGTAGATGGGTTTAGTATATAGATGGGTAATGTGGTTATTTTTAAACCAATTTGACAATCTCTGCCTTCTAATAAGAGAATTTAATCCATTTATATTTAAATTACTCACAAGGAAGGGTTTACTTCTGCCATTTAGCTATGTTTTCTGTAAGGTTTATATGTTTTTGTTCCTCATTTCATTTACTACTGCCTTTTTAAAATATTAATCTAAATTAATTAAGATTCATTAGAAGCTTGGTCTTCCCAATCAAGTGATCACCTCTCCCTCTATTTGAACAGCTCCCAATGAATATCTCCTTCATGAATCTATCCAAAATGTTAAAAAGGAGAACCTACCTTTTCTGGACATGAAAGTAGGCTCAGGTTCTATCCCAGTTTTCACTGTCTGAATCACTGGGCCCTTAAACACACACCCACCATACACTATTCAACTATTTATACATAGTTTATTATTATCATCTATTCCCTGCCTACATGCAGCCTGGATTAGGCTGCAGCCTAGAATATTTAAGAAGGGTCTCCTGATGATTGGTAAACAAAGAAATGAGAGGCAAAGTGGCTTACATTGTAGGAGCGGGGGTGCCTCTGCTTCCACTGCACCAGGAGTAGCTGGGCCACAACCAAGGTAGCGATGAGGATGAGGACCATTTCAGCATGCATGGCTTCATGGCCGCGGTGCTTGGCATGCATGCGTGCGTGCTCGACCCTGAAAGCCAAACAGATGGGGTGAGCTAGGTCAGGGATGGTGTAGTGGTAAAGGGGCAGTGCTTTCTAGGGATATCCCACTGGTCTGTAGCTCAAAACACACTCTTGTGCTTTGCAGCTGCAGAGTACTATACAAATTAGGGGCTAAAATGACACATGCCATAGAGGACAGGCATTTTGGGATAGCATAGGAGTTCCATGGGGCCTAGTCACCAAGGTCAGATATTGGGGTTAAATGTGGGTGGTCTGCTGCCTGCCCCCAATGGTAGAAATAATTGATACTTTCCATTTCAGTCTTATTTCAACTTGTCATTGGAAGGAGAAAGTAACCCAAAGAGAAGGTTACAGCCATGAACCTTCATACTATTACTTAATGATATTTATGACACCAATAAAGGAATAACATTGCAAATGTGTGCTAATTCCAGGGTTAAAGTCATGCTTTATTTGTCCTACCCTCTCTGTCAGGACCAGAGATCTTGAAGCCTGAAAAATCTCAACTGTTTCAACTTTATACTAATCCAACAGTAACTTCACCATCAGTATCCACAGGTAAATAGCCTCTTTAAGGGCACAAGGAGAGTACAACTGGAAACTCTCATTTAATCTAAGGCTGGCATAGTCCTGAGGACTGACAGCAAGTGATTCCCTTGGCCAATACAGGCAAAAAGCTTCCTCTAAGAATAGGAAAGTCACTCCTACCATTCTGGGTCAGAGTCAGCCAAGGGAGAGGAATGAAGGAGTTAGAAAACTAAACACAAATGTAGCCTGTAGTCAGGAGCTTTTGTGCAAGTACTTCATACCCAGAAGTATTAGGGAGAAACGGAAAGGACAACATAAATTGTATCTTCATGAAATTCCCAAGTGCAATGAGAGACTAAACAAGAAGAACTTGGTGGGATGAATTATGGACAGATAAATCATAAAGCTAATATAGCAAAAAGTTAACTGTAGAATCTAGGTGGTGGGTATAAGGGTGTTCACTGTACAATTCTTTCAACTTTTCTGTATGTTTGAGATTTTTCATAATAAAATGTTAGGGGGAAACTGCCCACTAGGGTGGGCAGCCAAATGTCAGCCAGCCAGCCAGCCACAGCACCTAAGGGTTCGTCTTACCTAAAACTCTGTCCTGGGTGAGAGAATCTGACAAAAAGATAACAGGGAGGTAGGAGTCAGAAATTTAGTAAACCAAGTTTTTCAAATTAGTAAAACAAATTTTACTTGGTTGACTTCAGCTCATTAGTCAGCTACCTGGCAACGTTTGTGGGGCAAATACTCTTGAAACTCCTTTACTGGTGAGACATAATGACAGTAAGATAACTGTTGACTCGCTCTGGTTACAAAGCAAGTTAGTAGCAGAGTTGAGATAAGAAAACACATCTCTTATTTTCTCAACCAGAGCTCTCTGACCTGTTTCATTGATAATGATGATGTTAATGATGATACTCACCCTCAAAGTAGGTAACAGTTACTGGAAGTTAACCACATGCCAGGCACTGTTCTAAGAATTTCACATATATTAATCCTCACAACAACTTTATGAGATATAGACACTATTATGATCCTCACTTTACAAACTGGGAAAATTAAGGTAGTATCAAGTTAAGTAACTTGCCCAAGATCACAACACTAGGAAATGGCAGAACTAGTATTCAAACTCAGATGGATGGTTTGGGGCAACAACCTATTTACTCCCCAGGATGGAGGGAGCTACCCAGGAGTGAACCAAGTACTGGAAAAGATCTCAAATGGCCTGTCCCAGCAGTCATAGGTCACTGATTTCCACAGACAAGGAAGCAAAATACACAACTCCATTAGTAGGACCCATCTATAGTCCCCAGCATGAGGGGCCCACACTGTCACACTTACCTCCATTGCTCCTCTGGGGAGAGGTCTGACATATCAACCTGTAGAAAGACACCACCAGAAAAATCCATTACTGTCTTAGAACTGTCCCTGCCAAACATACAGTGATCACATATTTGCTAGAGCTAAAAATATGTATGATTCAGGATTTGTGGGACATGAAGCTAGATAAAATATTCTGACATATAATGCCATTTGACTCTAAATGGCCCCATTAGACTAGGGTGAACTAAGCTTCAGTCCCTGCTCTGCTATTAACCAGCTGTATGGCCTTCCAACCTCAAAGTTCCAGTTCTATTTGTTGGTCTTATCCTATTTTAGAGCAGGATTTCTTAAACCTTGGCACTAGTGATATTTTGGGCCAGTTAATTCTTTAGGTTTTTTGGTGAGGGGTTGTCTGTACATTGTAGGATGTTTAACAGCATCCTTGGCCTCTACCCACTAGATGCCAGAAGCATCCCCAAAGATGCAACAACCAACAATATCTACAGACATCGTCAAATGTCCCTTAGGGGACAAAAATTACCCCCAGTTGAATACTACTGCTCTAGAATAATACTCAACTCTTTGAGTTCAGGGCTCAAGTCTACTTCCTTGTAGCCATATGGAAGCATACCCAAGTCTTAGTACCTAAGTCACTCGATACATTCTTATATTAAACTGAGCTGAAAATGTGCCTTGATGTAGAGAAGACAGGACCTCATAATCACTTAAAGGAATCAATCAACAAATATTCCTTTAGTACTTATGATGTTTAAGGCCTAGTTTTCCACTGTTCCTCTGCTAACTTTAGAAAAGTACTTTAAGTAGGCTGTTTGAAGTAAAATAAGCAGAACTCCATTCTATTATGAAGTAAAATCGGCACATATTTACCAGGCACTCTTTATGTGTATATACTGGGAATGTCCACCATTATGTAGGGAGGGCTTTCTGGTTTCTATATGTCCCAGCAAAAGAAAGAAAGAAAGGAAAGAAAGAAAGAGACAGAAAGAGAGAGAGAAAGAGAGAGAGAGAAAGAGAGAAAGAGAGAGAAAAGGAAGGAAGGAAGGAAGGAAGGAAGGAAGGAAGGAAGGAAGGAAGGAAGAAAGAGAAGGGGAGGGAGAATGGAAGGGGAGGGAGAATGGAAGGGGAAGGAGAATGGAAGGGAAGGAACAATATCCCAAGGCCTCCCCTAGCCAATCAAGGTAATGAAGTCAACCACCCCTTTGTCCTACTTCACATTTTGCCTCATGGAATTTATTCAGGTGTCTGGACTCAGCTCTTTATCTCCCCAGAAGGACAGAGGTCCCCTCCAAGAGGGGAAAAGCTGATGCAGGAAATGGGAAGGCCCAGTTGGATAGTATCTGAGCAGATAATTAAGGACCACATTTCTAAAGAAACAATGAATACACAGGTTTCATGCTACCTATCAAAACTCTTCTCCTCTTTTCCAACTTGGACCTGCATCTTGCCAAGCTAGTCTGTTTCCAAACACATGGGGCTCATGCCTGTCTCTGAGCGTTTGCACATTCTTCATTCTGTTTATAATGCCCTCACCCCTCTTTTCTTCCAATCCAAATCCAATTTATCCTTTGAGAACTCAGCTGCCACTTCACTTTCCCTGGAGAAGGCTACCCTGGTCCCCTAGCTTAGTGAATATGACCCTTTGCTTTCCTCTAGCATGAATTTTTCTCCTTGCTACTCAAAGTGTAGCCCTAGTATCAGAATCATCTGGGTGCTTGTTAGAAATGTAGAATCTCAAGAACCACTCCAGACCTACTGAATCACAATCCTCATTTTAGTAAGGTCTCCAGATGATTCATATGCACTTTAAGCTTGAGCAGCACTGTTCTGTTTCACTCTTTCAGTCTTATGTTATTTAGACATGCCTTCCAAGTGACCTAACTGTTTCTTAAGTCCAGGACCAGGGTGGGGTATGCAAGGGACCTAGGACTCAGAATTTAAGGAGGCACACATTGTCAGGTACAGACCCTGTGCTTGCATGACCTTCAGAGTGCCTCCTTCAAGTTTGCACCCAGTGCCTTGTTTGCTTTATCCTAGTCCAAGTCCTGCTTATGTCTATCTTGCTCCCACTGTGGAAGATGCCACAGAGCCAAGGAGAATACACTGCTTTTGTGACTTTCAAGAATAGGAGAGCTGAGTGTATATTAAGCACTCAATGAGTACCTGTGGAACTGAACAGAATTCTCTCCAAGAGGGCAGTAAGTTTGCTGATGAACCGGCACCTCACCTGGAGATGTTTAAATGGGAGTGTAAACAAACACTTGAAAAATATCTAATAAGCATCTGGGAAAGAAGTATTCATTTTCTAGAGGTACCCAGAAAATTACGTTTAAAAAACTACATGTCAAAACAACACAACACGACTACGCGTTCAAAGAAGCAAGACAAGTCCATTGAAGGGGAAACTAGGAAGATTCAGAGAACTGAGCCAGGCATGGGGGCACCTCTCTATGAGACAGAAGTCAAGCAAGCTTAGTTTTTCCCCCTCTAAAAAATAGAAAATAAGTCTTCTGACTTCATTGTGGGGCTGTGAGGGTAAGTATATTCCAAGTGAGCAAGTGATTTCATTGCCTTTCCTCCTAGGAGAGCGGGTGTACTTTAAAAAGTACTGGGAGAGGCCAGGCAACGGAATGTTGGTGTAGCACTGGGCGGTATTGCTTTCAGAGCCTCAGGGAACAGCTCAAAAGGGCAAGCACTAAGGCTGAAGCACTAACCCTGGTGCGGAGAGGACTATTTAGCACTTCATGGAGTAGTATGAGTACCAGAATGGAGTTACACTAAAAAAAAAAAGACATGAGTTGGCCTTAATATTTGCCTCCTGAACCAAAAGACTTTTTAAATTATATCCAAACCAGTCTTGTAGCTCAAGTGGAAAAACAAGGAAAGTTATAAACTATATCTATAATTAACCTGCACCATCTGGAAATACCTCTTTATTTGCTCCCTCATTAATGAGTTTATTCATCTGGGGCCAAGCAATAAACCAGTCAGAAGATGCCCTGTCCAGAACTCAGGTAGCTAATTAGGGAGGCTCTCAGGGTAGGGTTATGGGCCATGGGCCCATATCTAACTCCTAAGACCCAGACATAGAATGTCTTTTCGTCAACCATTAACTCCCCTCCTAGGATCTCAGAAAGGCTCTAGTCATTCCAATCTACCTAGGTTCAGATTTGAAAGAAGTTAAACCAAAAATGTCAGGCAGAGGGCAAGAGAAAGCTTCACAAAAATGGAAAGTAATCTGCTGTTGATACATTTTCTCAGGTGGGAAAGACTTATGAATCCACCGGTGTAACCCCATAAACAAGCTTCCTGTCCCCCACAAATACTGGGTATTCTATGGGCTCTGAGTCGTTACAGATGCTAATTACTTTGTCCCTTCAGCCCCTCTTCCACCAAACCACATTCTGCCTTCCTACAAAATCCTAGCCAAATCCTCCTGTCTCCAGAAAGGCTCTTCAGACTGACCACATTCACTGAAAAAACAAACATCCTCTACTGCCTAGCTGAGCATGGTTCACAGCCTAGCAGCATCAGCACCCTAAGAACTTAAGAAATAGAAGCTTCAGAATCCATCCTAGACCCCCTGAATCAGAACCTACATTTAATAAGATACCCAGGTAATTCATATGCACATGAAAGGATTGCTACTGCCTCCCAGGACTCACATTCACAATCTCTCCTACAGTCATATACTTCTATGTACTTGAATCGTTTTTAATAATAATTTTACTGAGATCTAATTCACATATCATAAAATTCACCCATTGAAAATGTACTATTCAGTGCTTTCAGTATTTTCACAGAGTTATGCCACAACCACCACTAGTTAAATTTAGAACATTTTTACCACCCCAAATGACACCACACACCAGTTAGCAGTCACTCTCCAACTTCCCTCAGCCCACAGAACCACTAATTTACTTTTGACCTCTATCTATAGATTTGCCTATTCTAGACATTTCATATAAAAAAGATCATACAATATGTGTTTTTTGGTGATTGGCTTCTTTCACTTAGCATGTTTTCAATGTTGGAGCAGGTACTGTAGTTCATTGCTTTTTACTGCCAAATATTGTACTGTATGGATATATATTTTATTTGTCCATTCATCAGTTGATGGAAACTTGGGTTGTTTACAGTTTTGGGCTATTATAAATAATGCTGTTATGAACATTCATCTACCAGTTTTTGTGTAGACATGCTTTCATTTCTCTTGAGCATAACTAGTAGTGGAATTGCTTGGTCATATGTTAACTATGTTTAACCTTTCAAGGAACTGCAATTTGTTTTCCACAGCAGCTGCACCATTTTACATTCCCATGAGCAGTGTCTGAGAGTTCCACTTTCTCCACATCTTTGACACTTGTTATCCTGTCTTTTTGGTAAAAGGTATCCCAATGGGTGTGAAACAGCGTATCAATGTGATTTTGATTTTGCATTTCCCTGATGTATAATGACGTTGAACACCTTTTCATATGCTTATTAGCCATTCACATATTTTCTTTGGAGTAAAATTTATTCAAAATCTTTGTCCACTTTGTAAAAATATTGTTTTTTACTGTTTTTACAGTTTTAGGTTCACAACAAAACTGAGTGGGACGTGCTGAGATTTCCCACTCGACCCCTGCCCCTAAATATGCATACCTTCCCCATCAACATTCTCCATCAGAGCAATACCTTTGTTCTAACTGATGAACTTACACTGATACACCATTATCACCTAAAGTCCATAGCTTACCTTAGAGTTCACTACTGACGTACATTCTATGGGTTTGTTAAATATATACCTTTCTACTATACAAATGTCCTTATGGACACATATCCACCATTACAGTATCATACAGAATAGTCTCACTGACCTAAAAATTCTGTGTTCTGCTTATTCACCCCTCCACCCCCCTAATCCCTACAACCACTGATCTTTTTACTGTCTCCATAGTATTGCCTTCTCCAGAATGTCGTATAGTTGAAATCATATAGTACGTAGCCTTTTCACACTGGCTTCTTTCACTTAATAATATGTATTTAATATTCCTCTATGCCTTTTCATGGCTTGATAGTTCATTTCTTCTTAGTACTGAATAATATTCCACTGTCTGGATGTACCACAATTTATCCATTCACCTATTAAAAGACATCCTGATTGCTTCCAAGTTTTGGTAATTATGTATAAAGCTGCTATAAGCATCTGTCTGCAGGTTTTTGTGTGGACATAAGCTTTCAACTCCTTCAGGGGAAATATTAAGGAGCACAATTGCTGGATTGTATGGTCATATGTTAAGTTTTGCAAGAAACCACCAAACTGTCTTTCACAGCGCATGTATTATTTTGCATTCCCATCATCAATGAATGAGTGTTCCTGCTGCTCCACATCCTTGCCAGCATTTGGTGCTGTCAGTGTCTCAGATTTTGATCATTCTAATGGGTGTTTAGTGCTATCTCGTTGTTTTAATTTGCATTTCCCTGATTACATATGATGTGGGGCATCTTTACATATGTTTATCTGCCATCTGTATATCTTCTCTGGTGGACTGTATGTTAAAGTCTCTAGCCCACTTTTTTTTTTTTCATGTTTTGCTTTTTTAAATTTTTGGTGGGAAACTTTTTAAAAATTTTTTAAAAATTAAGATGTATTTGGTTTACAATGTTGTGTTAATTTCTAGTATGCAGCATGTTTCAGTTATACTTAAACATTCTTTTTCATATTTTCTTTCATTATAGGTTATTACAAGATATTGAATATAGTTCCCTGTGCTATACAGTAGAACCTTGCTGTTTACCTGTTTTATATATAGTAGTTAGTATCTGCTCTAGCACACTTTTTAATCAGGTTGTTTGTTTTCTTATTATTAAGTTTCAAGAATTCTTTGTGTATTTTGGTAACAACCCTTTATCTGAGAGGTCTTTTGCAAATATATTCTCCCAGTTTGTGGCTTGTCCTTTCATTCTTCTGACAGTTTCTTTCACAGAACAAGAATTTTGAATTTTAACTAAGTTTAATAAACAAGCTTCATGCTTGTCACAAGTATGATGTTAGCTGTAGGTTTGGGGTAGATATTCTTTATCAAATTGAGGAAGTTCCCCTATATTCCTAGTTTAATGGGAATTTTTATCTTGAATGGGTGTTGGTTGTTGCCAAATGCTTTTGCTACAACTACTTATACGTTCATGTAATTTTTCTTCTGTTGATGTGATGGATTATATAAACTGATTTTTCAAATGTTAAACCAAGTTTGCATCCCTAGGATAAATCCCATTTGGTCTTGGTGTATGATTCTTTTTATACACTGGATTCAATTTGTCAGTATTTTGTTAATGATTTTTAAATCTATATTCATGAGAGACAATGGTTCATAGTTTTTTTTTTCTTATAATGCCTTTATCTGGTTTTAATATTAGGGTAATGTTGGCCTCACAGAATGAGTTAGGAAGTATTCACTCTGCTTCCATCTTCTAAAAGAGACTGTAGAGACTATAGAGGTACAATTTCTTCCTTAGATGTTTGGTAGAATTCACCAGTGAACCCATTTGGGCCTGGTGCTTTCTATTTTGAAAGGTTATTAATTATTCAGTGAATTT